CCATTGTCACCCTCGGCTTCGCCTCGGGTGACAATGGTTTTCTCGGGTTGACAATATTCACTGTCACCTGCTAATGAATGTCATATTTATATAGTCTCACCCTAGGGTTGAGACGGGGGGATTCCCCTATTCCTAACAATGGCATGACGTCACTTTAACAATACAATGACGTCACGCCAACAATCTATCAACGTCACGTCAACCCTGAATTTAGCATGTAACGTTATCATTACATTGTGCATATGATACACAATAAGAGAACAGGGTAAGAGAAAAAGATTCATTCACCTCCTTGGGGGTGAGATAGTGGAATCTCAACCCTCGGGTTGAGATTCTCCTATCTCACCCCCAAGGGGGTGAAAGATTCTATTAGTCCTTACTTAGTATTTAATTTATCATATAAACAACACTATGTAATAATTATAATGAATGATACATAGCATACAAAACATACAAAATATATGCCTATCGGATCAAAAGGGGAAAGGCGGCCATAGGAAAAGGAAAGGGTGATGATGACACACAATGTTTATTATGTAGAAGCACAGTCGTAACTGATGGTCTTGATATTTAAGAGACATAATATCAAATCAGAAATATATAATGTATTATATATGTGGAAATCTGTGTGTAGCTCCGACAAACTCAGCGGTGCATTCGAATATATATACATTGGTTTGTTCATCACAATCACCACAGCCAGATAGAAGTACATCCAGAGTGAAGCGATTGTGATTAACATCAAATAATCTATCCTTGAGGGTTTTACGTGGTTCATCATACTTGTTGCAAATGAGAAAAAAATGATGTATTGTTTCATGGGCATTACCACAGGTACAAGTTGGTGATTCAAGAGGATGATCTCTGTGTAGATCAAAACCAAGATTACTTGAAAAATTTCTAAGTTGGCAAAGTAGGATGTTGTATTTTCTATCACCTGCATTGACATAGGTAAATTTTATACTTGTGTCTGGTAACATGATGTCACTTACAGCTCTTCTTAAAAGTAGTTTAAATTGATATAGTGATATGATGTTAGTCAGGTCAAACCTTGCTGCAAGTTCATTATAATCTTTAAGTGTAGACGGAATAAAGCTTTTGGCATAAGTAGTTGTTCTGCACACAGGGATTGTAAAGGATTGTCATCACCACGGTTCCCATTTTGTAAACGTGATTGACAAAGACTTACAGGGCGTGTGTCGTCGATGAAGCAGAATACGTTTCGAGTAGTCTTTGTGCAGGTCTTTCCTTTGTTCACAGGTGTAGTCTGTGTGCAGGTTTTTCCTTTGTTCACTGGTGTAGTCTGTGCGCAGGTCTTTCCTTTGTTCACTGGTGTAGTCTTTGTGCAGGTTTTTCCTTTGTTCACTGGTGTAGTCTTTGTTTAGGTCTTTCCTTTGTTCACACTAATGTAGTCTTTGTGCAGGTCTTTCCTTTGTTAACTGGTGTAGTCTTTGTGCAGGTCTTTCCTTTGTTCATACTGGTGTAGGCTGTGTGCAGGTCTTTCCTTTGTTCACTGGTGTTGTTTTTGTGCAGGTTTTTCCTTTGTTCACTGGTGTAGTCTTGTGCAGGTCTTTCCTTTGGTCACTGGTGTAGTCTTTGTGCAGGTCTTTCCTTTGTTCATACTGGTGTAGGCTGTGTGCAGGTCTTTCCTTTGTTCACTGGTGTAGTTTTTGTGCAGGTGTTTCCTTTGTTCACTGGTGTAGTCTTTGTGCAGGCCTTTCCTTTGTTCACTGGTGTAGTCTTCGTGCAGGTCTTTCCTTTGATCACTGGTGTAGTCTTCGTGCAGGTATTTCCTTTGTTCACTGGTGCAGTCTGTGTGCAGGTCTTTCCTTTGTTCACTGGTGTAGTGTTTGTGTAGGTCTTTCCTTTGTTCACTGGTGTAGTCTTTGAGCAGGTCTTTCCTTTGTTCACTGGTGTAGTCTTCGTGCAGGTCTTTCCTTTGTTCTCTGGTGTAGTCTTCGTGCAGGTATTTCCTTTGTTCACTGGTGTAGTCTGTGTGCAGGTCTTTCCTTTGTTCACTGGGGTAGTCTTTGTGCAGGTCTTTCCTTTGTTCACTGGTTGGTCTTTGTGCAGGTCTTTCCTTTGTTCACTGGTAGTCTTTGTGCAGGTCTTTCCTTTGTTCACTTGTGTAGTCTTTGTGCAGGTTTTTCCTTTGTTCACTGGTGTAGTCTTGTGCAGGTCTTTCCTTTGGTCACTGGTGTAGTCTTTGTGCAGGTCTTTCCTTTGTCCACTGGTGTAGTCTTCGTGCAGGTTTTTCCTTTGTTCACTGGTGTAGTCTTCGTGCAGGTCTTTCCTTTGTTCTCTGGTGTAGTCTTCGTGCAGGTATTTCCTTTGTTCACTGGTGCAGTCTGTGTGCAGGTCTTTCCTTTGTTCACTGGGGTAGTCTTTGTGCAGGTCTTTCCTTTGTTCACTGGTAGTCTTTGTGCAGGTCTTTCCTTTGTTCACTGGAGTAGTCTTCGTGCATGTTTTTCCTTTGTTCACTGGTGTAGTCTGTGTGCAGGTGTTTGCTTTGTTCACTGGTGTAGTCTTCGTGCAGGTCTTTCCTTTGTTCTCTGGTGTAGTCTTTGTGCAGGTCTTTCCTTTGTTCACTGGTTGGTCTTTGTGCAGGTCTTTCCTTTGTTCACTGGTAGTCTTTGTGCAGGTCTTTCCTTTGTTCACTGATGTAGTCTTTGTGCAGGTCTTTCCTTTGTTCACAGGTGTAGTCTGTGTGCAGGTTTTTCCTCTGTTCACTGGTGTAGTCTGTGCGCAGGTCTTTCCTTTGCTCACTGGTGTAGTCTTTGTGCAGGTTTTTCCTTTGTTCACTGGTGCAGTTTTTGTGCAGGTTTTTCCTTTGTTCACTGATGTATGTAGTCTTCGTGCAGGTTTTTCCTTTGTTCACTGGTGTAGTCTTCGTGCAGGTCTTTCCTTTGATCACTGGTGTAGTCTTCGTGCAGGTATTTCCTTTGTTCACTGGTGTAGTCTTTGTGCATGTCTTTCCTTTGTTCACTGTTGTAGTCTTTGTGCAGGTCTTTCCTTTGTTCACGTAGTCTTTGTGCAGGTCTTTCCTTTGTTCACTTGTGTAGTCTTTGTGCAGGTCTTTCCTTTGTTCACGTAGTCTTTGTGCAGGTCTTTCCTTTGTTCACTGGAGTAGTCTTCGTGCATGTTTTTCCTTTGTTCACTGGTGTAGTCTTTGTTTAGGTCTTTCCTTTGTTCACACTGATGTAGTATTTGTGCAGGTCTTTCCTTTGTTCACTGGTGTAGACTGTGTGCAGGTCTTTCCTTTGTTCACTGGTGTTGTCTTTGTGCAGGTCTTTCCTTTGTTCACTGGTTGGTCTTTGTGCAGGTCTTTCCTTTGTTCACTGGTGAAGTCTTTGTGCAGGTCTTTCCTTTGTTCACTGGAGTAGTCTTCGTGCATGTTTTTCCTTTGTTCACTGGTGTAGTCTGTGTGCAGGTATTTCCTTTGTTCACTGGTGTAGTCTGCGTGCAGGTATTTCCTTTGTTCACTGGTGTAGTCTGCGTGCAGGTATTTCCTTTGTTCACTGGTGTAGTCTTTGTGCATGTCTTTCCTTTGTTCACTGTTGTAGTCTTTGTGCAGGTCTTTCCTTTGTTCACACTGGTGTAGTCTGTGTGCAGGTCTTTCCTTTGTTCACTGGTGTAGTTTTTGTTTAGGTCTTTCCTTTGTTCACACTGATGTAGTCTTTGTGCAGGTCTTTCCTTTGTTCACTGGTGTCGTCTTTGTGCAGGTCTTTCCTTTGTTCACACTGGTGTAGTCTTTGTGCAGGTCTTTCCTTTGTTCAATGGTGTAGTCTTTGTGCAGGTTTTTCCTTTGTTCACTGGTGCAGTTTTTGTGCAGGTTTTTCCTTTGTTCACTGATGTAGTCTTTGTGCAGGTCTTTCCTTTGTTCTTTGTGCAGGTGTTTCCTTTGTTCACTGGTGTAGTCTTTGTTCAGGTCTTTCCTTTGTTCACTGGTGTAGTCTTTGTGCGGGTCTTTCCTTTGTTCACTGGTGTAGTCTTTGTACAGGTCTTTCCTGTGTTCACTGGTGTAGTCTTTGTGCAGGTCTTTCATTTGTTCACTGGTGTAGTCTTTGTGCAGGTCTTTACTTTGTTCACTGGTGTAGTCTTTGTGCAGGTCTTTCCTTTGTTCACTGGTGTAGTCTTCGTGCAGGTTTTTCTTTTGTTCACTGGTGTAATCTTTGTGCAGGTTTTTCCTTTGTTCACTGATGTAGTCTTTGTTTAGGTCTTTCCTTTGTTCACACTGATGTAATCTTTGTGCAGGTCTTTCCTTTGTTCACTGGTGTAGTCTTTGTGCATGTCTTTCCTTTGTTCACTGGTGTAGTCTTTGTGCATGTCTTTCCTTTGTTCACTGGTGTAGTCTTTGTGCATGTCTTTCCTTTGTTCACTGGTGTAGTCTTTGTGCAGGTTTTTCCTTTGTTCACACTGGTGTAGTCTTTGTGCAGGTTTTTCCTTTGTTCACACTGGTGTAGTCTTTGTGCAGGTCTTTCCTTTGTTCACACTGGTGTAGTCTGTGTGCAGGTCTTTCCTTTATTCACACTGGTGTAGTCTGTGTGCAGGTCTTTCCTTTATTCACACTGGTGTAGTCTGTGTGCAGGTCTTTCCTTTGTTCTCACTGGTGTAGTCTGTGTGCAGGTCTTTCCTTTGTTCTCACTGGTGTAGTCTGTGTGCAGGTCTTTCCTTTATTCACACTGGTGTAGTCTGTGTGCAGGTCTTTCCTTTGTTCACACTGGTGTAGTCTTTGTGCAGGTCTTTCCTTTGTTCACACTGGTGTAGTCTTTGTGCAGGTTTTTCCTTTGTTCACTGATGTATTCTTTGTTTAGGTCTTTCCTTTGTTCACACTGATGTAATCTTTGTGCAGGTCTTTCCTTTGTTCACTGTTGTAGTCTTTGTGCAGGTCTTTCCTTTGTTCACTTGTGTAGTCTTTGTGCAGGTCTTTCCTTTGTTCACACTGGTGTAGTCTGTGTGCAGGTCTTTCCTTTATTCACACTGGTGTAGTCTGTGTGCAGGTCTTTCCTTTATTCACACTGGTGTAGTCTGTGTGCAGGTCTTTCCTTTATTCACACTGGTGTAGTCTGTGTGCAGGTCTTTCCTTTGTTCACTGGCGTAGTCTGTGTGCAGGTCTTTCCTTTGTTCACTGGCGTAGTCTGTGTGCAGGTTTTTCCTTTGTTCACTGATGTAGTCTTTGTGCAGGTCTTTCCTTTGTTCACACTGGTGTAGTCTGTGTGCAGGTCTTTCCTTTGTTCACACTGGTGTAGTCTATATACACACTGGTGTAGTCGATGTTCACTAGTGTAGTCTATATACACACTGGTGTAGTCGATTGTAAATTACAGGTTTGTTTACACTTCGGTAATTTGCCAATGTTTATTTCATTGTGAAGATCAGCAACCAACTGAACGTCCTGCACCTACACAGTCGATACTAACAGATGGTTATTGTTATGAACTCTACATTCAAAAATGATATAATTATCAAAAAAATATACTTTCAGCCTATTAATTAATGATCAGAACGTACCAAACCTCGAGCTCCCGACAACTTATTTTATACAGAATGTACCCTGAGCTCCTGACAGCTTATTTACGATCATAATGTACCCAAAGCTCCTGACAGCTAATTTACGATCAGAATGTACCCAGAGCCTCTGACAAATAATTTACGATCAGAATGTACCCCAAGCTCCTGACAACTAATTTACGATCAGAATGTACCCCAAGCTCCTGACAGCTAATTTACGACAAGAATGTACCCCGAGCCTCTGACAGCTATTTAATGATCAGAATGTACCCCGAGCTTCTGACAGCTAATTTACGATCAGAATGTACCCCGAACTCCTGACAGCTAATTTACGATCAGAATTTACCCCGAGCTTCAAACAGCTATTTACTGATCAGAAAATACCCCGAGCTCCTGGCTTATAATTAACTATCAGACTCGGTGCTCCTCAACGTTAACTTCTTTGGTAATTTTTGGCATGCATGTCTATCCACTACATGGAAAAATACTCCTCAATGTAGTGGACGATTTAACATTTCTTAACAGGTCATAAGACAGTTACCTCCCTTGCTGCATGCTTTCACGTTAATTTCTGATTACAGTATCTCGAATAATATTTTGTAACTTTTCTTCCTTTACCTTTTTTTTCAGATAAAACTAATATGTCAAGCAAAAAGTGTCTGTTGATGTACCAATGAATCATGTCAGATAGGTCATAAAGAAGACTTGAATATGTTGATTTGTTAAAGAATATACGCATGTGTATAGATTCGATTCTAAATATTTCACACGTCCATCCATTTGGCATATTCACCGACAAATACATTTTCTTTGATACGATATTCCTAATATATGATATGTTTACCTCTTCCGTCCTTTCCTGAGACTACCGTCAATGACAAACCAAACTGCTATTGATTCATGATATATTTTTATTTCAACACATCATTACATTATTTATAGACGTAATACCTAGTTTGTGCAGTGTGATGGATTGTAACGAGGCTCACATATATTGTGATTCATTTAAGTAAAACAATCAGTAGTCATATATCGTAGCTCACCATTGTAACGTAGCTCACATTGTTATAAGTTCACCATTGTAACTAGTTCACCACTGTAACGGAGCTCACCCTTGTAACTAGCTCACTACTGTAACGGAGCTCGCCATTGTAAGGTAGCTCACCATTGTAACTAGCTCACCCTTGTAACGGAGCTCACCCTTGTAACGTAGCTCACCCTTGTAACTAGCTCACCACTGTAACGGAGCTCACCCTTGTAACTAGCTCACTACTGTAACGGAGTTCACCATTGTAAGGCAGCTCACCATTGTAACGTAGCTCACATTGTAACGGAGCTTACCATTGTAACGTAGCTCACCCTTGTAACTAGCTCACCATTGTAACGTAGCTCACCATTGTAACGTAGCTCACCCTTGTAACTAGCTCACATTGTTATTAGTTCACCCTTGTAACTAGCTCACCACTGTAACGGAGCTCACCCTTGTAACTAGCTCACTACTGTAACGTAGCTCACATTGTAATTAGCTCATCATTGTAACGTAGCTCACCACTGTAACGTAGCTCACCATTGTAATTAGCTCACCATTGTAACGTAGCTCACATTGTAACTAGCTCACCATTGTAACGTAGCTCACATTGTTACTAGCTCACCATTGTAACGTAGCTCACATTGTAACTAGCTCACCATTGTAACGTAGCTCACATTGTAACTAGCGCAACATTGTAACGTAGCTCACATTTTAACTAGCTCACCATTGTACCGTAGCTCACATTGTAACGTAGCTCACATTGTAACGTAGCTCACCCTTGTAACTAGCTCACATTGTAACGTAGCTCACCCTTGTACCTAGCTCACATTGTAACGTAGCTCACCCTTGTACCTAGCTCACATTGTAACGTAGCTCACCCTTGTACCTAGCTCACATTGTAACGTAGCTCACCATTGTAACGTATCTCACATTGTAATTAGCTCATCATTGTAACGTAGCTCACCACTGTAACGTAGCTCACCATTGTAATTAGCGCACCATTGTAACGTAGCTCACATTTTAACTAGCTCACCATTGTAACGTAGCTCACATTGTAACTAGCTCACCATTGTAACGTAGCTCACATTGTAATTAGCTCATCATTGTAATGTAGCTCACCACTGTAACGTAGCTCACCATTGCAATTAGCTCACCATTGTAACGTAGCTCACATTGTAACTAGCTCACATTGTAACGTAGCTCACCCTTGTAACTAGCTCACATTGTAACGTAGCTCACCCTTGTAACTAGCTCACATTGTAACGTAGCTCACCATTGTAACGTAGCTCATCAGTGTAACTAGCTCACCATTGTAACGTAGCTTACATTGTAACGTAGCTCACATTGTAACGTAGCTCACCATTGTAACGTAGCTCACATTGTAACTAGCTCACCATTGTAACTAGCTCACCATTGTAACGTAGCTCACATTGTAACTAGCTCACCATTGTAACGTAGCTCATATTGTAATTAGCTTACCATTGTAACGTAGCTCACATTGTAACTAGCTTACCATTGTTACGTAGCTCATCAGTGTAACTAGCTCACCATTGTAACGCAGCTTACATTGTAACGTAGCTCACATTGTAACGTAGCTCACATTGTAACGTAGCTACCATTGTAACTAGCTCACCATTGTAACGTAGCTCACCATTGTAACGTAGCTCATCAGTGTAACTAGCTCACCATTGTAACGTAGCTTACATTGTAACGTAGCTCACATTGTAACGTAGCTCACCATTGTAACGTAGCTCACATTGTAACTAGCTCACCATTGTAACGTAGCTCACATTGTAACTAGCTCACCATTGTAACGTAGCTCACATTGTAACTTAGCCCACCATTGTAACTAGCCCACCATTGTAACTAGCTCACCATTGTAACAGAGCTCACCCTTGTAACTAGCTCACCATTGTAACGTAGCTCACATTGTAACGTAGCTCACCATTGTAACGTAGCTCACCACTGTAACGGAGCTCACCCTTGTAACTAGCTCACCATTGTAATTAGCTCACCATTGTAACGTAGCTCACCATTGTAACGTAGCTCACCACTGTAACGAAGCTCACCACTGTAACGTAGCTTACCATTGTAACGTAGCTCACATTGTAATTAGCTCACCATTGTAACGTAGCTCACCATTGTAACGTAGCCCGATAGAAACTAGTACATATCGTATAACTATTCTCACCACTGTAACGTAGCTCACCATTGTAACGTAGCTCATATTGTAACTAGGTCACCATTGTAACGTAGCTCACATTGTAACGTAGCTCATATTGTAACTAGCTCACCATTGTAATTAGCTCATCAGTGTAACGTAGCTCACATTGTAACGTAGTTCACATTGTAACGTAGCTCACCACTGTAACGAAGCTCACCACTGTAACGTAGCTTACCATTGTAACGTAGCTCACATTGTAATTAGCTCACCATTGTAATTAGCTCATCAGTGTAACGTAGCTCACATTGTAACGTAGCTCACCACTGTAACGTAGCTCACATATAATGCAATTCGTATATCACAAATGAACTTCAACGTGAAATCTATCAATCTATATATCTATCTATCTTTATCTATCTATCTTCGATCTATGATGTCAATAATCGGCATTGCATCTTGTAAGTTAATTTGGGGTGTGACCTGAGATTTCAAATCTTCTAACCACACAAAAACTATTTCGTATGCGTTTTTTCTGACAGTAAAGCCTTGGGAGTTGTGTGGTTACCAATCAGGGAAAATCCCCGAATATTCTGCATAGCACAGAAATATCCATTACTGATATCTTTAACTATTTGTATCACCTGATTCGAAAATTCCATTTGTATCTCTTTTGTTTGTGTGTATTTGGATCAATTAGACAAAAAACAAAAAAATCATTTAAGACATGCAAAGGAAAGCGTTAGTTTATAACCGGTTCATTTTTGTATGACAATCTAAACCGGAACAACCTTGAAACAACAATTGTAATTAATCTAAATTGACATAAAAATCTCCATGGCAAGCATCCTTAACATGGAGACGTCATCATTCGTATAGATTTGCATGGGGATATTATTTATCAGCGTCAATATGAACCAGTATAACCATAACCAAGTAGAAACGTGTTTTCCATCAAATTGTGCTAAACGAAAGTGGTTTAAACTATAGCCTGCAATAAGATAACCAAATCGTCCTAATATCTTCATGGCATAGTCAATATAAAACCCAAATCCATGGTTGCTGAATTTTATATGTATTATGATAAATTAAGAAGTTAATCCTCACTTCAATTCAAGGTAAGTGGACATTGGCATTTTGACTAATTACAAATTACCCTTTGCTATGATGCACCAACGATCCGGTTTGAGTGAAAAATAAATACATGTTTTATTGTTAAAATGAAGTGAATGGGTATCTACCGAGAAGATGGAGCTCAATAGGAGATTTTATAATGGAGAAAAAGTTTCACATACTGAAAAAACCCCCATAAAAATGCTAAAAAGTCCGCGTATTAGCATACGAGGTAACAAATGTATAACTTGACCCGATAAAAAAACACGAAATAAATCCAAAATAGTCTTAAATGTGATAAATTTATACAACCAATATAAAAAGTACATGTATGTTATAAATGGATTTTTTTCCATGCATTTTCTGACTATTAATATTTGTTGTATATACATACAATGTAAAAGTAAACATTGGGAACAAAACAAGCATCTGTTAACTCTTCACAAGCCTCCTGTTATTATTAGCAGACAGATACATGTAGCGACGTGATCTGTTATTATTAGCAGACAGATACATGTAGCGACGTGATCTGTTATTGTTAGCAGACAGATAGCGACCTCATTTGGTATTGTTAGCAGACAGATAGCGATATGATTTGGTATTATTAGCAGACAGATAGCGAAGTCATTTGATATTGTTAGCAGACAGATAGCGACGTGATCTGTTATTGTTAGCAGACAGATAGCGAAGTCATTTGGTATTATTAGCAGACAGATAGCGAAGTCATTTGGTATTATTAGCAGACAGATAGCGATATGATTTGGTATTATTAGAAGACAGATAGCGACGTGATCTGTTATTGTTAGCAGACAGATAGCGAAGTCATTTGGTATTATTAGCAGACAGATAGCGAAGTCATTTGGTATTATTAGCAGACAGATAGCGATATGATTTGGTATTATTAGAAGACAGATAGCGACGTGATCTGTTATTGTTAGCAGACAGATAGCGAAGTCATTTGGTATTATTAGCAGACAGATAGCGAAGTCATTTGGTATTATTAGCAGACAGATAGCGATATGATTTGGTATTATTAGAAGACAGATAGCGACGTGATCTGTTATTGTTAGCAGACAGATAGCGAAGTCATTTGGTATTATTAGCAGACAGATAGCGAAGTCATTTGGTATTATTAGCAGACAGATAGCGATATGATTTGGTATTATTAGAAGACAGATAGCGACGTGATCTGTTATTGTTAGCAGACAGATAGCGAAGTCATTTGGTATTATTAGCAGACAGATAGCGAAGTCATTTGGTATTATTAGCAGACAGATAGCGATATGATTTGGTATTATTAGAAGACAGATAGCGACGTGATCTGTTATTGTTAGCAGACAGATAGCGACGTCATTTGGTATTATTAGCAGACAGATAGCGATATGATTTGGTATTATTAGCAGACAGAGAGCGACGTGATCTGTTATTGTTAGCAGACTGATAGCGACTTGATCTGGTATTATTAGCAGACAGATAGCGACGTCATTTGGTATTATTAGCAGACAGATAGCGATATGATTTGTTATTATTAGCAGACAGATAGCGACGTGATTTGGTATTATTAGCAGACAGATAGCAACGTGATTTGGTATTATTAGCAGACAGATAGCGACGTGATTTGGTATTATTAGCAGACAGATAGCGACGTGATTTGGTATTATTAGCAGACAGATAGCAACGTGATTTGGTATTATTAGCAGACAGATAGCGACGTGATTTGGTATTATTAGCAGACAGATAGCGACGTGATTTGGTATTATTAGCAGACAGATAGCGACGTGATTTGGTATTATAAGCAGACAGATAGCGACGTGATTTGGTATTATAAGCAGACAGATAGCGACGTGATTTGGTATTATTAGCAGACAGATAGCAACGTGATTTGGTATTATTAGCAGACAGATAGCAACGTGATTTGGTATTATTAGCAGACAGATAGCGACGTGATTTGGTATTATTAGCAGACAGATAGCGACGTGATTTGGTATTATAAGCAGACAGATAGCGACGTGATTTGGTATTATAAGCAGACAGATAGCGACGTGATTTGGTATTATTAGCAGACAGATAGCGACGTGATTTGGTATTATTAGCAGACAGATAGCAACGTGATTTGGTATTATTAGCAGACAGATAGCAACGTGATTTGGTATTATTAGCAGACAGATAGCGATATGATTTGTTATTATTAGCAGACAGATAGCGACATGATTTGGTATTATTAGCAGACAGATAGCAACGTGATTTGGTATTATTAGCAGACAGATAGCGACGTGATTTGGTATTATTAGCAGACAGATAGCGACGTGATTTGGTATTATAAGCAGACAGATAGCGACGTGATTTGGTATTATAAGCAGACAGATAGCGACGTGATTTGGTATTATTAGCAGACAGATAGCAACGTGATTTGGTATTATTAGCAGACAGATAGCAACGTGATTTGGTATTATTAGCAGACAGATAGCGACGTGATTTGGTATTATTAGCAGACAGATAGCGACGTGATTTGGTATTATTAGCAGACAGATAGCGACGTGATTTGGTATTATTAGCAGACAGATAGCGACGTGATTTGGTATTATAAGCAGACAGATAGCGACGTGATTTGGTATTATAAGCAGACAGATAGCGACGTGATTTGGTATTATAAGCAGACAGATAGCAACGTGATTTGGTATTATTAGCAGACAGATAGCAACGTGATTTGGTATTATTAGCAGACAGATAGCGACGTGATTTGGTATTATTAGCAGACAGATAGCGACGTGATTTGGTATTATTAGCAGACAGATAGCGACGTGATTTGGTATTATAAGCAGACAGATAGCGACGTGATTTGGTATTATAAGCAGACAGATAGCGACGTGATTTGGTATTATAAGCAGACAGATAGCAACGTGATTTGGTATTATTAGCAGACAGATAGCAACGTGATTTGGTATTATTAGCAGACAGATAGCGATATGATTTGTTATTATTAGCAGACAGATAGCGACGTGATTTGGTATTATTAGCAGACAGATAGCAACGTGATTTGGTATTATTAGCAGACAGATAGCGACGTGATTTGGTATTATTAGCAGACAGATAGCGACGTGATTTGGTATTATTAGCAGACAGATAGCGACGTGATTTGGTATTATTAGCAGACAGATAGCAACGTGATTTGGTATTATTAGCAGACAGATAGCAACGTGATTTGGTATTATTAGCAGACAGATAGCGACGTGATTTGGTATTATTAGCAGACAGATAGCGACGTGATTTGGTATTATTAGCAGACAGATAGCGACGTGATTTGGTATTATAAGCAGACAGATAGCGACGTGATTTGGTATTATAAGCAGACAGATAGCGACGTGATTTGGTATTATTAGCAGACAGATAGCAACGTGATTTGGTATTATTAGCAGACAGATAGCGACGTGATTTGGTATTATTAGCAGACAGATAGCGACGTGATTTGGTATTATAAGCAGACAGATAGCGACGTGATTTGGTATTATAAGCAGACAGATAGCGACGTGATTTGGTATTATAAGCAGACAGATAGCAACGTGATTTGGTATTATTAGCAGACAGATAGCAACGTGATTTGGTATTATTAGCAGACAGATAGCGATATGATTTGTTATTATTAGCAGACAGATAGCGACATGATTTGGTATTATTAGCAGACAGATAGCAACGTGATTTGGTATTATTAGCAGACAGATAGCGACGTGATTTGGTATTATTAGCAGACAGATAGCGACGTGATTTGGTATTATTAGCAGACAGATAGCAACGTGATTTGGTATTATTAGCAGACAGATAGCGACGTGATTTGGTATTATTAGCAGACAGATAGCGACGTGATTTGGTATTATTAGCAGACAGATAGCAACGTGATTTGGTATTATTAGCAGACAGATAGCGACGTGATTTGGTATTATTAGCAGACAGATAGCGACGTGATTTGGTATTATAAGCAGACAGATAGCGACGTGATTTGGTATTATAAGCAGACAGATAGCGACGTGATTTGGTATTATAAGCAGACAGATAGCAACGTGATTTGGTATTATTAGCAGACAGATAGCAACGTGATTTGGTATTATTAGCAGACAGATAGCGACGTGATTTGGTATTATAAGCAGACAGATAGCGACGTGATTTGGAATTATAAGCAGACAGAGAGAGACGCAATCTGGTATTATTATTTGCAGACAGAGAGCAACTTGATTTGAAATTGATAACGCCAGAAAGCGACGTAACAGGATTTTCCAAACAGATAGGTGAATACATCCAACATTAATATCGATATCCAGTTATTTAACAAACTACCAAGATCACGTCTAGAATTAGCAGTAGAGATCAAAACGTTTAACTGAACTGAATTTTCCTCATTTATACTGATTCGATTTAATTGTACAGCAAGGTTATATAACATTATCTAAAATAAATACGAAAAATAATGTATTCAAAGCAACACAACTGAATTAAAGTGGTTTGACGTCGTTAGTTAAACGGACGCTTTTTATATACGGATTTTGACAACAATATGAATGTTTAAGAACAACTTTAATAAAGGGCAAGATCCAGAAAGATTATTTCAATATGTAAGCAACAAAAACAAACGTATAAATCATAATGCAGGTTAATTAATGGTAGATTAAAGAAAATCGCTCAACGTTGTAAACAACATGTAAATACAATTTCGTTGTATTTTGTACACATGAACGTTTATCGAAATGAGGGAAAGATGAGATTCAATACATTATATACATGTACTATTTGTAGACGAAGTAGAAAATAGAAACAATTACATATGTATAACTATTCCCGATAGAAACTAGTACATATCGTATAACTGTTCCCGATAGAAACTAGTACATATCGTATAACTATTCCCGGTAGAAACTAGTACATATCGTATAACTATTCCCGATAGAAACTATTACATGTCGTATAACTACTCCCGATAGAAACTAGTACATATCGTATAACTATTCCCGGTAGAAACTAGTACATAGCGTATAACTATTCCCGATAGAACCTATTACATATCTTATAACTATTCCCGATAGAAACTATTACATATCGGATAACTACTCCCGATAGAAACTAGTACATATCGTATAACTATTCCCGATAGAACCTATTACATATCTTATAACTATTCCCGATAGAAACTATTACATATCGGATAACTACTCCCGATAGAAACTAGTACATATCGTATAACTATTCCCGATAGAAACTATTACATATCGTATAACGGTTCCCGATAGAACCTATTACATATCGTATAACTATTCCCGATAGAAACTATTACATATCGTATAACTATTCCCGATAGAAACTATTACATATCGTATAACTACTCCCGATAGAAACTAGTACATATCGTATAACTATTCCCGGTAGAAACTAGTACATATCGTATAACTATTCCCGATAGAACCTATTACATATCTTATAACTATTCCCGATAGAAACTATTACATATCGTATAACTATTCTCGATAGAAACTAGTACATATCGTATAACTATTCCCGATAGAAACTAGTACATATCGTGTAACTATTCCCGAGTATTTGAGGATGTTTTGTCTGGGAATGACTTTCTTACAGTTATCGTTATAGACATATTTGTGTTTACCCGAGTAGGAAGCAAACGAACAAAGAAAATATCTTGTTTGAGAGAAACTTAATAGCACGCAATATAAAACAGTTCACTCGTGTAACGTATTTATGATAAAATATTGTGAAATTACAAATCCATGTTTTATATATTAATTAGAGTACTTTGTATAAATGAAAATTTCAATGTTTAATATATTTATTATAGACTTTGTTTAAATACAAATTTCTTTGTTTAATTTATCAATTAAAGCACTTATAGTATAAAAACAAATCATTATGTGTTTTTGTATTATTTATAGTTCGTTCCTCGTATAAATACAAAGCACTATGATTAATATATTATTTACAACAATTATCTATGATTAATATATTGACTATAGCATGTTATAGAAACATAAATACGTTAAATATGTTAATTAAAAGACAAAGCTTTGTAAGATCAATCAAATGATATATACAAAGCACTGACTTTAGGAGCACACAGCACGAGTACAGATCTGTGACAAGTAGTAAAGGGCACACAGCACGAGTACAGATCTGTGACAAGTAGTAAAGGGCACACAGCACGAGTACAGATCTGTGACAAGTAGTAAAGGGCACACAGCACGAGTACAGATCTGTGACAAGTAGTAAAGGGCACACAGCACGAGTACAGATCTGTGACAAGTAGTAAAGGGCACACAGCACGAGTACAGATCTGTGACAAGTAGTAAAGGGCACACAGCACGAGTACAGATCTGTGACAAGTAGTAAAGGGCACACAGCACGAGTACAGATCTGTGACAAGTAGTAAAGGGCACACAGCACGAGTACAGATCTGTGACAAGTAGTAAAGGAGATAACACTCTTAAACAAATAGAAAACAAAGAATATATCTGTCCTCACTGTATACAATTGAAAGTCTCAAAAGTAAATTAATCTAACTAATAAGAGGAAGTCAACATCAGATGGCGTTATACCCATGCAAGTTTGTGGAATAAGAACATTATCAAAGTGTTCCTGCAATGTTTATCATGCAGATCTAACATTTCTCGTGTGATCTAAAATACCTTAAAATGATAGTAAGCCAGTTGGTGACGACTTCATTCATAGAAAGAAAGTTTAACTGCTATTTTGGGAGAATAGAAAAAAGGTTTGCAGAGCAATGGAAAAGCAGTTTTAAATGAAAAGCACACAAGAAAATTCGAAAACAATCACGTTATACATTTTTACATTAACTTGTGTAAAACATGGTAACAAAAAAAACGTGCTTTGGTGCTAGCAAAAAACAACAACTTAACAGTCGACTCAGATAAACAAAATATATAGGTACTTAACAGTTTACCTATAAACAAATTATATAGGTACTTAACAGTTTACCTATAAACAAAACTATGGTACATGTATCTTCAATCATTTCAGTTGAATAAAACTATGTGAAATTAACAGTCAACTCAGGTATATAAAACTATAGACATTTAAATCAACTGTGTAAAAATATCATAAGTGCTTAACAGTCAACTCGTGTTTACTGATAATACTGATAACATTTTAAAACAAATTTATTTAATTCATTTTGTGCATACCTTATGCATAATTCGCATAAAAATTTGAAGCGTGAACATCAGGTACATGCATTTCCAACAGGCAGCATACTCTATTTGGTCATTTGCAGCAGTAAAACACAATATGTCATCAAAAGTACCTCTACAGTAATTTACAGTACCTCTACAGTAATACACAATACGTCATTTACAGTACTTCTACAGTAATACACAATACGTCATTTACAGTACTTCTACAGTAATACACAATACGTCATTTACAGTACTTCTACAGTAATACACCATACGTCATTTACAGTACTTCTACAGTAATACACAATACGTCATTTATAGTACTTCTACAGTAAAACACAATACGTCATTTACAGTACCTCTACAGTAATACACAATACGTCAGTTATAGTACTTCTACAGTAAAACACAATAAGTCATTTACAGTACCTCTACAGTAATACAAAATACGTCATTTACAGTACCTCTACAGTAATACAAAATACGTCATTTACAGTACCTCTACAGTAATACAAAATACGTCATTTACAGTACCTCTACAGTAATGCACAATGCGTCATTTACAGTACCTCTACAGTAATTTACAGTACTTATACAGTAATACACAATACGTCATCTATAGTACTTCTACAGTAAAACACAATAAGTCATTTACAGTACTTCTACAGTAAAACACAATAAGTCATTTACAGTACTTCTACAGTAATACACAATACGTCATTTACAGTACCTCTACAGTAATACACAATGCGTCATTTACAGTACCTCTACAGTAATTTACAGTACTTCTACAGTAATACACAATACGTCATTTACAGTACCTCTACAGTAATACACAATACGTCATTTACAGTACTTCTACAGTAATACACAATACGTCATTTACAGTACCTCTACAGTAATACACAATACGTCATTTACAGTACTTCTACAGTATTCTGAAGTTAAACCAGTTTTTCACACACTATTTATGATTACAATGTTGAGAAGTTCATAATTTGTTTTCGCAAACAGTCAAAAATATGAACCAAGAGAAAAAAAGGAACAAATTGTAACATAGGATATAAACATTGTCATGTGTTACAGCATTACTTGTCATGTAAACTACAACAGTTCCCGACATGTATAAATATTTCCCGACATGTATAAATATTTCCCGACATGTATAAATATTTCCCGACATGTATAATTGTTTACAGATGACCTGATATGTTGATCCATTAGGAGAGTTCCTTGCATCTTTTTTTGAAAATAAAACACTTTCGATGAACATCGCAAAAAAGGAATATACTGATGTCTTATCTCGAGCACATGGGTAAATACTCTTTGAATGTCGGGAAAATGTCGTGTTTACATCCTAAATCGAATAAATGACAGCATTTCAGCTTCTGTATAAATCGAAACGCACTGTAATTAAAATTAATATTTTTTCGGTTAAGTTTATATGAAAGAAATAATAATTGATGTATTTGGTACATGCATATATTGCTTAATCGAGTGTTTACATTTTGAAATAAAAATATATTTAAAAACAATATACACAGATTTCGATACACATTATACTTATACTTTTGTAGAAATCCTTTACTTATACTTCTGTAAAAATCCTTCACCTAAATTTCTGTAGAAATCCTTTACTTATACTTTTGTTGAAATCCTTTACTTATAGTTTTGTAGAAATCCTTCACCTACATTTTTGTAGAAATCCTTTACTTATAGTTTTGTAGAAATCCTTTACTTATAGTTTTGTAGAAATCCTTTGTGAAAGACCTTGAACCGTTCCAGCATATCCGCAAGTTGTTCAACAGTAGGAAGAATCGTGGTCCTGTCAATTATAAGAGAATTGTAAAATTTTATCTGCGATTGGGTGTCTGCAATATCTGTCACATCGCAGGTCAGATCATTCTTAAGGTACTGGAATAAGTAACACAGAAAACTTCACCACATTAGTTACAGATGAGAACACCTAAATTCAACACAATAGAACAACTGAAAGCGTGGCTTCACATTAACAAAGGAAAAGGCACAATTAACTCTCCAACACGCTGTTGTGTTTAGAAGGGATACTTGTGTTATCTGCTATAAATAAGACACTTATCGAATGCAGGATCATATTACGGTCAGCAAAAAATGTAATACACCAGCCCAGTAGGAATATGTAGGACACTACAATGCAACAATGTATGACTCAACTCTTTGGAGAATACGTACGTCATCACTGATCTTAAACACTCATGCAATGAGAATATGTAAGTCATCATCAATCGATCACACGCGTACAGTGAGAATGTGTAGGTCATTAGCGATATATGATACACGTGTATTGAAAGTATGTAGATCACCGATGATCTAAGACACACGTGTGGTGAGAACATGTAGGTCATCACTGATCTTAGACACACATGCAGTGAGAATGTATAGGTCCAAAGCAGTCTAATACACACGTATAGTGAACATGGCTTCATTTGGAAGTAGGTCATAATAACGAGTTAATGTCTTTTGCACCGATTAAATTGTCTCCAGTAGAAATTCTGGTTATGTACTCTATCTATAAACAGGACAAATCTTTGTAACATATACTTACAACAAACACAGGAAGCGTAAAGTCATCTGTTTGGCGTTTAATCCATATTGCAAAGACGGTATGCTACTGCCGAGAAAGCGCAGCTTAATGATAATAAAATTAATGTACGCAAGTGATAGATAATGTAATGAGATGACATTAACAGAAATGTACGCAAGTGATAGATAATGCAATAAAGACGGTATGCTACTGCCGAGAAAGCGCAGCTTAATGATAATAAAATTAATGTACGCAAGTGATAATGTAATGAGATGACATTAACAGAAATGTCCGCAAGTGATAGATAATGTAATGAGATGACATTAACAGAAATGTCCGCAAGTGATAGATAATGCAATGATATGACACTAACAGAAATTTACGCAAGTGATAGATAAGGCAATGAGATGACACTAATAGAAATGTACGCCAGTGATAGATAATCCAATGAGATGACACTAAAAGAAATGTCCGCAAGTGATAGATAATGAAATGAGATGACATTAACAGAAATGTACTCAAGTGATAGATAATGCAATGATATGACACTAACAGAAATGTACGCAAGTGATAGATAATGCAATGAGATGAAACTAATAGAAATGTACGCAAGTGATAGATAATGCAATGAGATGACACTAACAGAAATGTACGCAAGCAATAGATAATGCAATGAGATGACACTAACAGAAATGTACGCAAGTGATAGATAATGCAATGAGATGACACTAACAGAAATGTACGAAAGTAATAGATAATGCAATGAGATGACACTAACAGAAACGTACGCAAGTGTTAGTTAATGCAATGAGATGACACTAACAGAAATGTACGTAAGTGATAGATAATGCGATGATATAACATTAACAGAAATGTACGTAAGTGATAGATAATGCATTGAGATGACATAAACAGAAATGTACGCAAGTGATAGATAATGCAATGAGATGACATTAACAGAAATGTACGCAAGTGATAGATAATGCAATGATATAATATTAACAGAAATGTACGCAAGTGATAGATAATGCAATGAGATGACATTATCAGAAATGTACGCAAGTGATAGATAATGCAATCAGATGACATTAACAGAAATGTACGTAAGTGATAGATAATGCAATGAGATGACA